GAGAGCGACATATACACAGTATAGAAAAGAAAGGGCTCTTGCTTTTAAGGAAGTTACAACCCTAGTGGAATACTGATATATAAATGTTTAAAACATAAGGCAGTGTGGAATAAACACTAAATAGGAACATAGTTATTATATAGGAACATAGAAGAAGAACCAATCCCTTAGAGGAAAAATGTCCATTCATTCACACATTGGTATTTGCATAATCCTGAGGTCCAAGTTTTCACTCTACTACAGCTCAATATGCAAATATATATTTTTGTTTCTCTATTCCCATCACCACTTTGTTTTATTAATCCCTTATTATCTTTCAACAAAACTGTTAGAGAGCCTGATAACTAGTATCTCTTCTCCATTTTAAGCCTCTGTTGCCCTACTAGTACAACAACCCCAATTTGAGCCCTCATCATCTCCCCACTAAATGAGGGGGTACCCCCCAAAGAAACAAAAACAAAAAGGAAACAAGCTGCACGTTTTTCCTGCTAGGCAATCATCAAGCAACTCCCTCTGAGCTAAGTGCAGTCAGTGGCATTGCCTGCGAAGGTTCTCTCTAGTCACAGTGATTTTTTTTCATAAAAGCAGTTTCGTTTAAATCTCGTGTTTTGTGACGGCCTGTTTAAGAGAACAGCGTGCAGCTGTGAAATTTTGCTTTCTGCTCAGGAAAAATGCCACAGAAACTGTTGTGATATTAAACATAGCTTACAAGGATAGCACTATGGGGAAAACTCAAGTGTACAAGTGGTTTTCTCGGTTCAAAAAAGGTGACATGTCAATTGATGACAAAACTCATTCTGGATGATCGTCAACTTCCAGAACGTATAAAAATGTCGACTAGTAGTGTATTTGGAGTTCATTCCACCAGGTCAGACTGTTAATGAAGCTTTCTATTTAGAGGTTCTGAAAAGATTGTGTAACAGTGTGCAATAAAAAAGGCCTGCTTTGTGTCAGATGGGAGACTGGTTTTGCCACCATGACAATGTACCTGCTCACACAGACATCTCACTGCACCTGTTTTTGACAAAAAACAGCATGCCTTTCTTTCCCACGCACCTCACTCACCTGACCTCGCTCGTGTGACTTCTTTTTGTCTCCGTAAATGCAGAAGGACATGAAAGAACAGTGATTTGACTACATAGAAGAGGTGAGGAAAAAACAAGGGAGGTGCTGTCAGCCATCCAAACAGATGAGCTCGAAAAATGTTTCCAAGAATGGAATTGCAGATTTGACAAATGTATTAAGTGCAATGGAGAATAATGAGAAGGTGATAAGGATGTTTTGTAAAAAAATTTAAATACATGGCTTTGAAAAAAAATCCGATTTTTTTTTTGGGGGGGGGGTTACTTCCTTATATTCTGCAATGACCTCCTTACCAATTTCTCTACCTCTAGTCAAGTTTTACCCCTCCCTCTAATTCATTCTTCACATAAATATGCAAGTTGTGTCAATTTTTTGCTAAAATTCGTCAAGGACTCCTCTTTGCCCGCTTTAGGACAAAACTCATACTCTTTAACATGAGAAATAAGACTGTGATGATCAGGTGTTACCTACCAATCTATTTAAACATAACAATAAATAATTACTTATTACTCCTAACCTACAATGCTCTCAGATTGCTGAGCCTTTGTGTATATTGTATCTTCTGCCAGGAATTCTTTCCCTAGATTTGTCTATCTGAAAATGCATATTCATCCTTTTACTTTCCTCTTAAACACTACTCGATTGTGATTCCTAGAACAGATTATGAATGCCCTCTCTCCTGAATTCCTACTATACCCAAAACATGTTTCTATTAGAGCAATTATCTTAAAATATTATAATTATTTGTACTCACACGTCTTCTCACTACATTTGAAATCCTTAAGGACATCGGTGGGCCCTTACCTTTTAACTCCCCAGAAGATAGCACAGAGCCTGGTCTGAAGGAACCCCTAATTAGCCTGTCTAAAGCAGTGTTCTGCATAACCTCTCCCTTAAAAGCCCATGGGTCACATTTATAAATAGAAAATGTTAAAACTCTGTAGCTACACATTTCAGTTCTTTAGCTATCTCATTCTACTTACCTAACACTGCTCTATTTCCTATGATAATCCTTTTTATAAGCCCTATGTAGGTACTCAGAGAGTACTGGCAGCACAGTGTTTAAAGCACTTGGCTACCAACAGAAAGGCAAGTGGTTGGAATACATCAGCTACTTTTCAAGAACAAGATGTGGCAGTATATTCCTGTAAAGAGTATAGCCTTAGAAACCGCATGAGAGTTCCATTTTGTTTTATAGGGTCGTTATGAGTAGGAATCAACTCCGTGGTGCTGGAGTTTGGTTTAAGGTGATCTAGGTAGTGAACCATTCCTTATCTGACTTTCCTGTTGTTGTTAGGTGCCATGGAGTCAGTTCCCAGTCACAATGACCCTATGTATAATAGAACAAATACCAGCCAGTCCTGTGCCAACCTCACAATTGTTCCCACGTTTGAGCCCGTTGCTGCAGCTACTGTGTCAATCCATCTTGTCAAGGGCCTTCTTTTTTGCTGTCTCTCTGCTCTACCAAGCACGATCTTCTCCAGGGAGTGATCTCTCTTGACAGCATATCCAAAGTACATGAGATGAAGTCTTGCCATCCTTGCTTCTAAGGCACATATGGCTGTACTTCTTCAAAGACAGGTTGGTTTGTTCTTTTGGTAATCCAATGTACTTTCCAGATTCTTCACCAGCACCATCATTCAAACACATCGATTCTTCTTCAGGCTTCCTTATTCAATGAGCAACTTCACACACATATGAGGCTACTGAAAATATCATAGGCTGAGCTAGGCGCATATTCATCCTCAAAGTAATGTCCTTAATTTTCAACACTTTAAACAGGTCTTATGCAGCAGATTTACCTAATGCAATGCATTGTTTGATCTCTTGACTACTGCTTCCATGAGCAGTGATTGGGGATCCAAACAAGACAATCTCTTGACAACTTCAATCTTTTCTCCATTTATCATGTTGTTACCCATTGGATCAGTTATGAGGATTTTGGTCTTCTTTACACTGAGATGTAACCCATTCTGAAGGGTACAATCCTTGATCTTCATCAGCAAAAGTTTAAAGTTTTCTTCCCTGTCAGCAAACAAGGTTGTGTCATCTGCATATTACAGATTGTTAATAAGCCTTTCTCCAATCTTGATGCCTCATTCTTCTTCAAATAATCCAGCTATGTAATATATGACAAAATAATAATAATTTATAAGTTATCAAGGGAGGAGGGAGTGGGAGGAAGGGGAAAAATGAGTCGCTGATACCAAGGGCTCAAGTAGAAAGCAAATGTTTTGAGAATGATGAGGGCAACAAATGTACAAATATGCTTGACACATCGCTTCTCGGCCTTTTGGCTAAGATCAAGTGTAGTATCTATTCTTATCAGTTTAATATCTAATACGTCCTCTATCCGAGGACAATACATTAAATGAATTTTTGGAGCAGGGAGATGGAATAGGGGCCTGCTCCGTCCACTCCACACATCGACCTGGTATTGCAGTACTTCCAGGAACGGTGCACCCCTTTTAGGGGAATCAATAATACAAGAAAAAAAAAAAATATGCTTGACACACAATGGATGAATGTATGGATTGTGATAAAGAGTTGTACAAGCCCCCAATAAAATGATTTAATAATAATAATAATCCAGCTTCTCTGATGATTTATTCAGCATACAGATATAACAGCAAAGGCACCTAATTTTACCACAAAAACTACATTAAAAATGTGCTGAAAATCTCGGCTTATGCATGAGTATAGATGGTAAATAAGTAGGGTGAGTGGATACAACCCTAATGTACACTTTTCCTGATTTTAAATCTTGTTTTGTTAGTATAATTGACTCTTGATCCATATACAGGTTCCACATGAGTACAAGGAGATGGTCTGGAATTCCCAATCTTCTCAAGGCTATCCATTGAGTTCGTTATAATCCAAACAGTTGAATGCCTTAGCATAGTCGATGAAACACAAGTAAACATCTTTCTGGTATTCTCTGTGAGCCAAGATCCATCTGACATCAGCAATGATATCTCTTATTCTATGTCCTTTTCTAAATCTGGCCTGAATCTCTGGCAGTTTGCTGTCAAAGTACTACTGCAATTGCGCTAGATGATTTTCAACATAATTTTACTTGCATGTGATATTAATGATATTGTTCTATAATTTTGAGCATACTGTTGGGTCACCTTTCTTTGGAATGGGTACAAATATGAATCTCTTCCAGTCAGTAGGCCTAGTGGAACTCTGGCTTTTGTGGACTCATTTTAATTTTCTTCAGCTTCAACCTGAACTTACGAATGAGCAGTTGGTGGCCTGTTCCACAGTCAGCTCCTGGTCTCAACTTTCCAATTGTATGCATGCTTTATTCCTACAAGTCATTCAGACTCAAATGTTTTCTTCCCACTTTCCCCAAACGTTCATTCCTTGAATATTTATTTTCAATGCCAGTTTTCATATGAAACCCTCTGATTCCCTCAACCAGAAGTCTCCCCACCTCTGAGTTCCTACAGCATGTTATTGACTTCTCTATATTGTAAATAGCTATTTATATAACCCTTTTCCCTATTGATTTGTGAGTTCCTTGAGCACAGAGTTAGTGTCTGGTGGATCACTTACTACTGTGACTGTATAAAGTATATGCTCAATGTACACGCTTAATTGTTAAATGGATGATAATGCATAAGTGAATTAATATCTTAGCTTACATCAATCTGAGAGATAACCTATACAATACAAAAATAAGATAATTACCTAAATTTTACTGTACTTAAAATTTTCTCTTGGCAAATACTCAGATGATAATACAGGTCAACCTGTCAGAAATGCTGCCCCCCAAAATTGAGAAAATTGAGTTAGGGAATATAATTGGCAGGTATTTGGAGAAAATGGACTTTGCACCTAAAGACTTTGAAATAGACAACACTTTAAAGGAGAAATATTTGCACCCAAACTTATCTCAAAGGTCCACTAACCTGAGGAGGGGGCTGGTGCATGTTGGGATTCACCAGAATTCCTAAAGGCTCTGCAATAGATCGATGTAGTGTGGTCAGTGGCTGGTTTAAGGTTCCATCGGCAATGGCTTGTATTGTTTCATCTAGTCTGTGATAACAAACCAAAGGCGTACAAGAATTGGTAATGGTTTATACTCAGAATATTCTTACTTACCATCAACATAAAACTCTTTAACAGTTTAAAATTTGAACGTCAAAGAGGGGTTCATGGATCTTCACCCTATAAATTTCTTCTCCTCACTCCAAGAATATTAGGGAAAGTTCTAGAACGTCAAGAATATTGGTAAGGGCACACTAGAATCATTCATTTATTTAACAGGATCATTTAAAATGCCAAGATTAAAAAAGAACAACTATAAAAGGAACTGGCTTATGAAAAAAGAATTTATTTTATTGTAATTTATCTGTTCTACTTATTGTCTTGTCAACATACCCTACATAGTCATTTCTCTGCCTACCCAGGAGTCCCTCTCTACTCCTCCATGCTGATTTGAACGCTATCATTATTTCAATATCTGAAGTTCTAGAGGAGCAAGTACCATAGTTATGCTAGTCTACACCTCTGTGTTATTTGCTCCTGAACTCCCTACCCTTACTGGTGCTTGAAAACATTTGTGTAAGATGATAATTCTGAGGGCACAATATAATGAAAAGCTTCTATTAAGTGGAAAAGCTAAAACTTACTTTTAATTCGATTAAAAAACAAGTTTGGGGGATCTTCAATAAGCACAGAAACTTAGAAAGTGTGGAGGACATGGTTTGAGCCTTCAAGAAGTTTTCTAAGTGGCCAGCTTAAGACAATTTGATAGCTAAAAATTAGACCCCCACCAAATTGGATTTTTTTCAAAGCTATGTATTTAAATTTTTTTACAAAACACCTTATCACCTTCAAAGTACTCTCCATTACACTTAATAAATTTGTGAAATCTGTGATTCCATTCTGGGAAACATTTTTCAAATTAGTCTGTTTGGATGGCTGATAGCACCTCCCTCGATTTTTTCTTCAACTCTTCTATGTAGTCAAATCACTGTCCTTTCATGTCCCTCTGCATTCACAGAGACAAAAAGAAGTCACATGGAGTGAGGCCAGGTGAATAAGGTGCATGGGGCAAGAGAGGCACGCTGTTTTTGCCAAAACTGGCACAGTAAGATGGTTGCATGAATAGGTACATTGTCTTGGTGGCGAAACCATTCCTGTCTGCCACAAATCAAGCCTTTTTTGTTGCACCGTGTTACACAATCATAAAAAACAAATGAGCATTGTCTTCATCTTTGATTTCACTTGACAAGCTTTTTTTGAGCGAAATGACAATGGCATCTTCCACTGGCTTGACTGATGTTTGCTTTGGAGGTTGTAAGAATAGCACCATGTCTAGTCACCAGTAGTGACATTGGGAAAAAAATTCTGGGTTCCTTTGGAGCTGTTCTTTCAAAGCATGGCATGTTTCCATTCGATGCTCCGTTTCCTGGTCAGCCAGAACCCGAGACACGGATTTCAGAGTGACCTTGCTCATTCCCAAATCTTCATTAAAATTTGCTGAATCAAAAATAAGCAGCCATTTGGCTCAGAAGCAACAAAGGAAGAAGCACCAGCCTGTGTGATCACGAGGTGTCAAAGGGATCAGGTATCAGGCATCAAACAACAAAAAATCTTATCATTGTAAATGAGGGGGAGTGCAGATTGGGACCCACCCAAAGCCCATCTGTAGGCAACTGGACATCCCCTTACAGAAGGGTCTCGCGGAAGAGAACAGCCAGTCAGGAGGCAGTGTAACAACGATGAAACATACAAATTTCCTCTAGTTCTTAATTGCTCCTGACCCCCGCTATCATGATCCTAATCCTACCTTACAAATCTGGCTAGACTAGAGGATGTACACTGGTACAGATGGGAACTGGAAACACAGGGAATCCAGGATGGATGATCCCCTCAGTGAATTGTCTATGCTTAGCCTTTGCCCGTTTTTCTGGATTTTTTTTTTCTTTTGTCAGGAGATCTTTATATAGAACAGATAGTAGTGCCCTTATATATCCATACTATATTGAAAATGTTTAAAGTATTCTCTCTCTATCTGGTACCACTTTTTATTCTTATTTATATTATATCTTTGTGGGAGAAGTGTCCTTGTGGTGTAGTGGTTACATGTTGGGCTGTAATTTGAAACCACTAGCTCCTTTTTGGGAGAAAAATGAAGTTTGCTACACTTTTAAAGAGTTACAGTCTTAAAAACGCACAGGTCAGCTCTACCCTGTTCTACAGGCTTGCTATGAGTTGGAATCAACTCAATGACAGTTTTGGGTTTTTTTTTTTTAATGTCTTATTGACGGAACCCTGGTGGTATAGTAGATTACATGTTGGGTTGCTAACCACAAGCAAGGCTAGCAGTTCAAAGCTATCAGCTGTTCCACAGGAGAAAGATGAGGTTTTCTGCTCCCATAAAGATTTATCAGTGAGAGCCCAAAACCCATCTGCAAAGTATCTGATCAGACTAAGCCACTGGCAGACCCGGTCTAGCCACAGGCAAGAGTCTCAAACAGCTTGCTGTCAGGAAGACTCTTGTAATCTTGAATATGCTAACTCAAACTCAATACTTGGCCAGATGACCTCCCCATGGACCCAAGCTGCATTGGTTGTGTGCAAGTATCTCTTATTTCTTCCATGACAGAAATTTGTTCCCTGGCTTTTAGAATGTTGTTTTTTTTCCTTCCTCTTCATTATTTGTATTTTGGTCTTTATATTATTATTATTATTTTATCCCTACCACCATAATTCTAATTTTGTTTTTATTGTTTCTGTTGGGTTTCCCAGTTTGTGATGCACAGGAGGAGGGGATACAGAGTGATAACTGATACAGGGGTTGATGGGGGATGGAGGGGTAGGGAGGGAAGGGGAATTTCAAGGAAATGAAGACAGGAGGGGGAAGGGATACTAGGACTGACTGATTTCACAACTCATCTTAAAGGCGATTTAACCACGGGGTTGGCGGTGTCCTAAAATTGATATGGTAACGATTGTACAAATCTCCTTGATATGATTGAATGATTGAATTGTTGAAATGTATGCTATCTAAATTATGTGCCAATAAAACCATTAAAAAAAAGAAAAAGATTTATAACCTCAGTACCCCACAAGAACAGTTCTATTCTGCCCTATAAGGATGATCTAAGTCAGAACTGACTTGATAGTTGGGAGGGGTTTTTGTGTTCTATCTTTGTGGGTCTACGGATTAAGTTTTGAGCTGTTAACCACAAAGTCAATGGGTTAGTTCCTCCTCCAGAGAAAGATGAAGTTCTTTACTTCCATTAAGATTTACCTCAGAATTCCTATATAAGGTTGCTATGAGTCAGAATTAATTCAATGGGTATAAGTTTGGGATTTGGGAATCTATGACTTTATGAACTCCGGGTTTTTACTTTAATATTGCTTTCACACCAAGACCATCAAAATGTTCTCATATATTTCTGGTTTTCTTTCTGATTATTCTTTCTTTCACAACGAACTTTTAGTTACACTTATCACAGCATGGTGTTATCTTTAATCATAGATCTCAAATTTATTTCTTTTTTCTTTCAAATTAGTGCTCAATCAACCCAACACCATATATTTAACCCTTTCTTTACCATTTAGAAATGGTACCTTTATCAATCATAAAATTCACACACAGACACACAAATCTCTTTCTGGGTTCTTTGTTTTATCTATTCATTCCTATGCCCAAACTAGACCTCACTGTTTCAATGACTATAATCTTATTTTTAAAAGTTTTTATCTGGTAGGGCAAATAATTCTGCTTTTTAAAAAAATTTTTACTTATTCTTATGTTTTCCATTCCAAATGAATAACTACTTTTAAAACCAAGAAAAATAACAGATTCACGAGAGGAAAAAAATCCTTTACAGTCAAACTGTCTCCTCTTTCGGAGCTGTCTGGGGCTGCCCACTTACTTGTTGTGATATTCTGCTAGTGAATTTTCTTCTTCCAGGATCTTCCTGCCCGCAAAGTCAATAGTAACCTTCTTAGAGAGTCGAGAAGCATGCCGAAGTTCTCGTAGTTCCCCTTCTCGTTTCTGCAGGGCTTCTCGCTCAAGTTTGGACAACCACTGGTTAGAATCACTGGCAAAGTAATCTGACTCATCATCAATGACCTGAGTCCTTCGAACACTTAACAAGAAAAGATAATCGATGCCAATTAGGTCACTTATTGACAAACAGGGTCTAACTATTGGGAAACTGTTTCAAGGGAGCTCATTCTTGGATGTTAATACCTTAAATATAGATGCCCAAGAAAGTTCATAAATGAGGTCAAGCTCTGCCTGGTTTCCAGCTTCTGTATATATCTTGTCCCCATTACAGGTTCTGCCCACTCTTAGAACCCCAATTTCAGGCACCAAATGATACATCATTGTAATCTATTGTGCCTCTACCCTTTTACTAGTTCAGCCCTCATCTTCTGATAATAGGACTTTAGTTTGGTTTTACTATATCACAGCTCAGTTAATCTTCTCATCCCCATATAATAAGGTCCTTTGCTCTGCCTTCCTTGAGGAACGCAAGTTCTATAGTAGAATATCCTGTGCCTGGGACTGATCTACTTCAAAACTTAAAAAAAAAAAAAAAATCCTAACTGTCATCAAATTGATTCTGACGCAGAACAATTCTATAGGACAGGATAGAATTGCCCCTGTGGGTTGCCAAAATGTACCTCTGTATGGAGTATAAGGCCTCATCTGTCTCCTGCATTGCTATTTAATTTTAGGAATTCCTGTCTGTACTACTGCAAATTGGCGACTTTCTCCTCCAGTCTCCTCCGGTGACTTAGCCCTAGTCCCTCCACTACTACACAGAGTTAATTTCTAAGATCCTGCAACTGGGCCGATTTTTAGGAACATCTAAACATACAAACTAAGACCTAGAATGAACCTGATGTTCCATTTATCTCCTTTGAAAGATAATGATTCTGGGGCTCACAGATATTAAGTGACTGCTCCAAAGTTATAAATCCAGTTAAGACTGAATTTGTTACCAAAGGGTCAAATAGAAAATAAATGTTTAGAAAATGATGATGGCAACATATGTACAAATATGCTTGATACAATTGATGCATGGATTGTTATTAGAGATGTAAGAGCCCCCGATAAAATGATCTTTAAAAAGAAAAGGACTGAATTTGTGCATAACTACAAATCAGTGATATACATAGGCATATGGGAAATACTGATATCAGATTCATATATAGATTTTAATTGATTTCAATTTTTCAGGACTCAGCTGAAATTATAAAATGATCTTAAGTTCAATAAAACTATTTTAAAAGTTAAAAAAATATCTTAAGTTGAAAAAAATTTTTTAAGATCTTAAGTCTTAAAATATAGTTTTCCTAAAGAAAGATGTTTAAGAGGGACCAGAAGATTATCAGTCCTATACACGAATGTCAATTATGAAACTGGCACTTCTGATGTTGCAAATCATCTAAGTAGCAAGAACTGCGCTGCACCATTCTAGTTTCAATTCTATCGCTGAGTGTCATACAGTAGGGCTGAATGTTATGCTTAAAGGGTTACGAGTGCAGGTGAGTCTTAAATCTTAGGAGGGGCTCACTTAAGGTATTATTTCTAAATCACATCCCATTAATTTAGGCCAAATGGTTTGGAAGGAGCAGGCGCTGCTCACCAAAGGATTAGACTTCCTCACCACCAATAGACTTCCAGGTCAGTTACAATAAGGAAGTATGGAGGTCTCTCTGAATTCTCAGAGATTCTCTGTAAGTCCGATCTCAACATTCTTAACCCTAACTGGTTCCCGATATATATTTTGTCCAAATGAAAATGAAAAAAAAGAAGGGAATAAAAATTGGAACTAGCAAATACAAATATCTGTCTCCTAAAGAGAAGTTAGTGATCTAAACAATAGTATAGGTGCCTCAAAGTCAACATAGATATTTTAATATATTATTGATTTTAAAAAATAAATTCATTAAAGTAAAAGCTTTTTCCCTTTGCTTTCCAGAGGGACACCTGATGGTACAGTGGTTAAGCACTTGTCTAGTGGCATAGTGGTTATGCACTGGGAGGCTAACTGCAAGGTCAGCAGTTGGAAACCACTAGCCATTCTGAGGGAGAAAGATGGGACTTTATACTCCTGAAAGAGTTAGTCTAGGGGGAAATTTTTTTAATAAAATAAACACTAGTAAATAAAAGAGTTAGTCTTAGAAACTCCCAGGGGCAGTTTTACCTGGTCCTACAGGTTCACTCTGAGTCCGCATTGACCGGATGGCAGGGAGTTGTTTGTTTAGGAGCTGCTCGGTAATGAGCCTGGTGGTGCAGAGGGTGATACTTTGGGAGGTTAACCACAAGGTTAGCAGCACTTCAAGGGATATAGATCAGCCTTTCTACTGTACAACATTCAGAGCCTCTGAATCCCAAATGGGTAGTTCTACTCTGTTCTTTAGGGTTGCTATGAGTCACAATGGATTCAATGGCAGCGAGTGCGAAAGATGGAGCAGTCTGCTTCGCACAAACTTCTGCCGTGGGAGCCCTGTGGGACAATTCTCTTCTGCCCTACACGGTCACTATGAGTTGGAATTGACTTGAAGCCAATGGTTTTGCTTTTTTGTATGCTCTCCAGAGGTAATTTGTTACAGATCGTCCAGAGTCCAGCACAGCAGTGGACACATGGCAGGCACTCTAATATTTACGGAATGAATGAATGGAAGGGAAACAAGTGGGGAATTCTGACAACCCAAACCATCTTTTCATTTGTAATTCTAGTAATTGCTAAATCAAAAAATGTTGCAGGGTATAGGACCCTCTTAGTGTGAGCTTCCCTTACTCAAAAATGGACTCAAAATGAAGATGTAGGGTTCCTGTGTATTGTACCCAGCTCTCCTTTAGCCTAAGCTTTTATACTGTACCCTGACAGAGTATTACGTTCAAAATAATGTTTATACGGCAAGAATCTATGGATTCATCCATTACTTAGTCCTTGTTATTCCATCCATATCATACCTATTTCTGTCAAACTCTAACAGTTTCTCTTTATGTTTGACAGCCTTCTCTAAGCCAGACTTAATTTGAGATTCTTGATAGAGAAGAAGGTCCTTAGGGGAGAGATCCACCTTCCCAGAATTCTCCATCCCTGAAAATCAATAAGGATATGAAATAGTATCAACTCATAACACAAAACTTTGCAGCAAACAAAGCATCAGCAGGTCTGATTCTGTCCCTGATGGCCTGGAGACTGATTTTCAATAGAAAACAAACAAGTATATAGACCAGGCTTTCTTTATAGCACATCAAGCAATGCTTGACACATAATAGGCTCTCAATAAATATTACTGTCTTTTTCTTCTCTGAACAAGCTTACAGTCACTAAAGGAAATAAGTTATTTAACAGTACAACATAAAAATGCTTCATAGGCAAAGGACATTTATAGAGACCTAAATACAGGCATGTCATATATAAATATATATATATAATGAGAGAGGAATAGAACTATGTACTCATATCTAGATGTTAGGAATTAAGGTTGCAGATGGACATTGGGCCTCAACTCAAGTACACCCTTAACACAAAAACACTTTGTTCTAACAATCCGGCATTCTGTGATGCTCACCTTCCCAACACTATTGCTGAAGACAAAATGGGTGCATAAGCAAATGTGGTGAAGAAAGCTGATGATGCTTGGCTATCAAAAGATAACAGTGTCTTGGGTCTTAAAGGCTTGAAGGTAAACAAGTGGTCATCTATCTCAGAAGCAACAAAGCCCACATGAAAGAAGCACACCAGCCTGTGCGATCATGAGGTGTTGATGGGATCAGGTATCAGGCATCTAAGACCCAAAATAAAACCATACCCAAGGTGAATGGGAGGGGTAGAGGAGAGGGGGAATGGAGTGGAGACCCAATGCACATCTGTAGACAATTGGACATCTCCTCACAGAGGGGTCACAGGGAAGAGATGAGCCAGTCAGGGTGCGGTATAGCACCGATAAAACACACTACTTTCCTCTAGCTCTTCGGTGCTTCCTTCATCCCACTACCATGACCTCAATTCTACCTTACAAATTGGATTACACCAGAACATGCACACTGCTACAGCTAAGAGCCTGAAACACAAGGAATCCAGGATAGATAAACCCCTCAGGGCCAACAAGGAGAGTAGAGATACCAGGAGGATGTGGGGAGAAAGGGGTAACCAATCACCAGGATCAATCTAGAACCCCTCCCAGGGGGGTTAACGGAAAAGTGGGGGAGGGGTGATTGAGGATGATGTAAGATATGGAAAAAATAATCTATACCTATCAAGGATTCGTGAGGGAGGGTGGCCGGGGGAGGGAGAAGAAAGAAATGGGGAACTGCTATCAGGGGCTCAAGTGGGAAGAGAATGCTTTGAAAATGATGATGGCGGCATATGTGCAAATGTGCTTGACACATTGTAGAAATGTATGGATTGTAATACGAGATGTAAGAGCCCCCAATAAAAGTATATTTAAAAATGCTTCATAAATAACTATTTTAATTGAGTAGGGCTACATGTTACATTTAAAATTTTTTTATATATCAAAACTGAAAACTAAATAATAGAAAAAAGAGAAGACATATCAGAGGCTAGAAATGAATAGTTAATAAGAGGCTAGAAAATGCTAGAGCAGTTCTTATACATTATATTAGTTATTGCTCACATACGGCCTGTAAAATACTTTTCATTGTGTTTTACAGGCAAGGACACTTAAGTCCATACATGAAAGTAAATGCATCCCATCTCTCCAGTTGGACATCACATGATAAAAAAGAAACTCGAACCCAGTGCTGCCTGACTCTAAAGCCACATTCTTCCCAAGAGCCATGTTCGATCTTCCTGTAATAGAGCCGCATAAAGCTACACATCTCAGATATGGAGCCACAGCTCATAATAAGACCAAGTTCTACACCGCGTTCTGAAAAAAGTTAGGCTGACGTTTCTCTTTTGTATAACTGCAAATCTATTCAAAGTCCTGTCAGGTATTCATTTTAAATTTTGAGGTACCTATTTAATTTTAACAGTTTTTTTTTTTAATGGAGAGAATTATAGGTTATTCTTGTATTTTAAATATAAAAAGAGCATTTAAAGCCACATTTTCTTATAATAATGGTCTTAAAAAATCCAAACTGAAGAGCTACGGAGATATTTTCAATCTCATGCACAATAATATAAAAAATTATGATTGTAAAACAATAAAATGTCAATGCCCATTGGTGGACAAATTAATAAATACACTTCAGTACCTACACACAATAGAACAGTGTGTACAACTAAAGAATAATGATGAAACTGTGAAGCATCTCATGAAATGGATAGCTTTGGAGGACATTATGTTGAGTGAAGTTAGTTACGAGAGAACAAATGTTGTATGAGCCTACTGATATAAAAAAAAATTTTTTTAAACTAAAGAAAAAAGTTCCATACCATAAGAAACAGACTTTGACCATTACGAGGGGTAGAAATGGATGTGGGAAGGGGAAGTAATAAGCAAGCTGGTAGAAAGGGGTTAGCTTTAGCGAACGGAAGACAGTATGTTAAAAGAGGGAGATAAGGAATAAAGCAGGAGAGCAGAAAATACTGATCTGATATGAAAACTTCCACTTAATTCACAATAAAAAAATCTTTTAATGTCAATAGTGATGGATTGGGGGTTCATTGCTAATATTTCTGATAATTGGGATAATCTTTTGGTAAAGTAATTTAACAAAGACCTCTCAAATATCAGAAATTATTGTATTTTAGGGATATTTTCATTCAATTTTTCTATGAACATTTGAATCCCCCCCTGCACTTTAGTGGAGTAAAGAGTAGATTACTAAATCAAAACAAAAGCTACTAGAAGCAATTACTACTGAAGATTACCCAGGACATACACCACACCAGAAGCAAACTCAAGGCCACCGAGTCGATTGCAAACCCACAGGGCAGAGTAGAGCTGCTCTGCAGGGTTTCCAAAGCTTGATCTTCACGAAAGCAGACTGCCTCATCTTCCCCAGGGAGGGCTGGTGAACCCAAAGCAGCAACCCTGGTGAACAGCCAAGTGCTTTACCTCTGTGCCAACAGAGCTCCTTTCATAACAACACAGAAGCTAATTAGAAAGTATGTCTTGAAATAAAGGAAAAGCGTAAAATTCTATACACACTATGATTGCTCCTTAATAATATCAACCAATCTGTATTAAAAAATAATAGCAGCCATGAACTGAAACAACAACAAAATAACATATTTGCTTACATGGACAGAAATGAGTGATTTTCCTTTAAGAATTTCATTAACTGATGTCTATCCTTTGTTAAATTTTTTAACTTTATAAGAGACACAAAAATAATAGAGTTCCTGTATAACCTTCAAGGAGACTGGTGGCGCTGTGGCTCAAGCATCGGGCTGCTAACCACAGAGTCGGTGATTCAAACCCACCAGCCACTCAGCTTGTGAGAGAAAGACGAAGCTATCTGCTCCCATGAGGATTTACAGTCTGAAAACCTCTATACAGGGTCACTACGGGTCAGAATCGACTCAGTGACAGTGGGTTTGGCTTGGGGTTTGTATAACCTCCACTTAGCTAGCTACCTAATGCTAATAGTTCTTACATAATCATATCACAATGATCAAAACTACGACACATTACAAGGGTACAATATTATTTATTAACTAAACTTCAGCCCTTACTACTTTTTCCCCACTAATGTCATTTTTTTGTTCCAGGATACAAATCCAGGCTCCAACTTACTTGTCATGTCTCCTTAGTCTCCTCTTATTTGCGTTGACAGTTCTTCAGTCTTTCCCTGTTTGTCATGACCTTGCTAATGTCCTATGCTAAAACATTTACCAAATAATTTTAACCTCTGTCCATGAACCTTACCTGCAGAAATTACCACTGTGGTGCTCTAATGACTTTTTTTTCATTTTTTCCCCTCCCCCATAATGATTTTCATCACTCGCATTTCACCTATTTTATTCATGGAACTTCTTCTGTAAGAAAAAGTTGTCCCACAGGGAATCCAGAGCAGATACACCACTCAGGACCAGTAATCAGAGTAGCAATACCAGGAGGGTAAGGGTAAGGTGTGGGGGAGAAAGGGGAAACTGATTACAAGGATCTACATATAACCCCCTCCCAGGGGCACAGAAGAGGGTGAAGGGAGACATCGGTCAGTATAAGACATGAAAAAATAATAATAATTTATAAATTATCAAGGGTTCATGAGGGAAGGAGGGGGAAAAATGAGGAGCTGATACCAAGGGCTCAAGTAGGAAACAAATGTTTTGAAATGATGATGGCAACAAATGTACAAATGTGCTTGACACAATGGATAGATAAATGGAGTGTGATAAGAGTTGTACAAGCTCCAATAAAATTATTTTTAAAGAAAGAAAGAAAGACCCGTCCCTTCTTCTCCATTTGTTAACTTATTCTGTTAGTAATTTATTTATGAGTATTGGGCTGAACTGTGTTCTCCAAAAATATATGTTGATATCCTACCCCAGGTACCTATGAAAGCCATCTTACTTGGAATGAGCACTTTTGCAGATAAAATTTGTCAATATGATGTTATACTGGAGCAGGGTGGTCTGATCTAATTATGACTGATGTTCTTCTAAGAAGAGCTAAGACAAAAACACAGCAGGAGGCTAGCCACATACAGATAGAAACAGAGATTGTAGTTTTGCTACCACAGTCATGTAGCATCTGGGGTTACCAGAAGTTGAAACAGGCAAGGATCCTCCACTAGAGCTGCTGGCACCTTGTTTTCAGATGTCTAGTTTCCGAGCTGTGAGAGATTAAATGTCTATTGTGTTAAACCACCCAGTACCTATGTCCCATAGTATTACTATTGCCTTAGGGAACAAATACAATGAATAGGGTCTCATGAACATTCATTGTATTCTTTGAGTTATAAGCTAATATTATTCTTATTAATTTTATCTCAATATTGCATGGTCTTTTTTTAAAAATCATTTTATTGGGGACTCGTACAACTCTTATCACAATCCATCCATCCATCCATCCATCCATTGTGTCAAGCACATTTGTACATTTGTTGCCATCATCATTCTCAAAACATTTGCTTCCTACTTGAGCCCTTGGTATCAGCTCCTCACCCTCCCCACCCCATGAACCCTTGATAATTTATAAATTATTATTTTGTCATGTCTTAAACTGTCTGATGCCTCCGTTCACCCACTTTTCTGTTGTCTGTCCTCCAGGGAGGGAGTTATATGTAGATCCTTGTCATCGGTTCCCCCTTTCTACCTCTCCTCTTCACCCTCCCAGTATCGCCACTCTCACCACTGGTCCTGAAGAGTTCATCTGTCCTGGATTCCCTGTGTTTCCAGTTCCTATCTGTACCAGTGTACCTCCTCTGTCTAGCTGGATTTGTAAGGTAGAATTGGGATCATGACAGTGGGGGGAGGGAGGGGAGAAGCATTAAGAACTAGAGGAAAGTTGTATGTTTCATCGTTGCTACACTACCCTGACTGGCTCGTCTCCTCCCCTCGATCCTTCTGTTAAGGGAATGTCCAGTTGCCTACAAATGGGCTTTGGATCCACACTCCGCACTCCTCCTCATTCACAATGATATGATTTCTTTGTTCTGATGATGCCTGATACCTGATCCCTTCAACACCTCATGATCACACAGGCTGGTGTGGGCCTTGTTGCTTCTCAGCTAGATGGCCACTTGTTTACCTTCAAGCCTTTAAGACCCCAGACGCTGTATCTTTTGATAGCCAGGCACCATCAGCTTTCT